AGTGCCCCCCCCCCCCCATCCCTCAGTGACATACTTGTCTTCCATAAGTTGGTTTGTTGTCATGCATGTATAATATATGACACGAATCACAGACCTAGCTTTTATGATTTCTTGAGTTTTTTTTTTTTTTTTTTTCAGAGATGAGGGTGTCCACTGGGGAATACAAAATGGACTTCAGCTCTCTAGGAGTACAATTGTATATTACAAGCACAATGATATGGAATCATTACGAAGTATTCTGGAGAAAGTTACCCATAAAAACGAGAGAGCTAAGAAACTTAGGCGCTACATTGTGGCAGAAGCTGTGTATCAGGTTTCTCCTCTTATTAGAGTACTTGATATTACTTTCTGCTTTCGTGCTTTCTCTTTTCTCTCCTTTATGTGGTGGTTATTGACACGGGATGAAGAGGAGGCAACACCCACAAGTTTGTGGTCCTGCATTTTTTCTCCATTAACAAATAGATATAGTCCGATTTGTGTCTTGAACAAGAAACATCTATCAATGCGGCCAAACTTTTTCATCAGCCAGAATGTTTACTGTTATTTACTGTCTTTGGGGCTTGGCCAGTTTTCTTATGTCCCTAGTACTAAACAGAACACGTATTATGACTATCTCAAGTTCATAAAACATTCAAAGGAACAAGATGGAATCTGGAAAATTTAACAAATCTTTAAAGCAATGCTCTCAGTAGATCCTAGATCTGTAATAATAAAACCATTGGAGTCTTTCTGAATTCCAGTTTGACAGGATCAGTAACCTGTGAATAAAGATATGCTTTTCATTTGACAGGATCAATATCCAGTGAAAAAGATGTTATTTAGCTGCAGACTCCCTTGTGCTATGATATACACCTAAAGCTTTCTAAACAATCTAACTAATATAATGTAACTTGATAATATTAATTTGGATTTAGGACTGCATGACCCTTTTATTTGCGTTGTATTGCAATTATGCTTCACCGCGTCTACTTCAATTGTTATCATCTGAGTTAAAAAAGTACATAAATGGTATGGATCCTATAATTAGAAGTTACCAGACCGGGGAAAATTTTGCTTCATATATCTTTGAGTGCCTATGGAACTTCTAATGGTTGCTTGGATGCAATATTGTGTGATTGGGAAGAAATACTGGTCCTAATGAAGTAAACATTGTAGCCCTTTTGGTGTGAGTGAAAATACCGTCTCAAAGAAATCATTGAGATGCTATGATCTAACTAAATGCCTGCATTTTCTTGGGATAAATATATAATGCAAGGAATGAGTGAACTGGTGTTGTTTCAAGTCAAACTCTGACTACTCAATCTTTTGATTACTATTCACATTTGGATGATATTCATGGATGATGAGGCACTATGAATTGTAGAGCTGCTACATGGATGTGATGTATGAGCATGGACATTGAAATATTTATGCAGAGAAAAATGAATATACTGGATTACTCCGCATGGCTATACATCAATTCAACCAGGGAAAAACGAGGACCGTTAAAACCAAAATATTGAAGTCTTGCACTATATTTATCACATGTTCAAACACATTACTTCGAATCATCATGCTGGATCCTGAAATGTTAATTTGTTACTGCTCTTCTGAAATTTCAGAATTCTGGCCAAATTGCTCCACTGGATGAAATCGTCAGGCTCAAGGAAAAATATCGGTTCCGTTTAATATTGGATGAGAGCAATTCTTTTGGTGTTCTTGGAAGCTGTGGTAGAGGTCTAACTGAACACTGCAGTGTTCCTGTATGTTTTCTATAACCTTTCTGGTACAATTAGCTCAAATTTCTTTGGTTATATGGTGCTTTTTCGGTGCAGATTGAGAAGGTAGATATAGTAGCTGCTGCTATGGGAAATGCATTGGCTGCTGAAGGAGGATTTTGCACTGGGAGTGCCAGAGTCGTTGATCACCAAGTAGGGTTAATACTTAATTTTCACCACTAGTAAACCACATCCGTGTTTCTGGAACTGAAAGATCGAGCTAAACATTCTTACCGGAAATTGTGGTTACCATATTGCATAGACTTTCATTACTTTTCATTTACTAACCCAGCGTCCATTTCATTTGGCAGCGTCTCAGTAGTTCAGGTTACCTCTTTTCTGCTTCTTTACCTCCATATCTAGCAAGTGCTGCAATTGCTGCTGTTGATGTGTTGGAAGATAATCTGGATCTTATAACAAAGTTGAAGAAAAATGTTGCTACTCTCCACAATGGTTGTTCTC